GTAAGAAATTGTCAGAAATACTAAGAATTAATGGGACTCTTCTACTCTAAAAGCACTTACTCGCAATCAGAATAATCTTTTAAATATCTTTTTAAACAGTGAAATCGTACAGAGGAAACAATCCTTTTATAATATTTTATTTATATACATATATTTTTCACTTTTTCTATTTCATCTTTTAATATACGTATAATCACTCTATATGTTTTTAAATACAGTTCGAGTCAACAAACAAAGCAAAAATGTTTATTCTGAACACTATTGTTGACTAAAAATTCATATATGATGTTACGAACATGATCGTTAATAAAATTAATAACTATGAATATCTACATTTATAAAAATTAATAACATCGCATACTATACTATGTACCTTTCTGTTGTAGAGTGTATAATTTAAACAATTTTCTATTGATTGTATTCTGTGGAAGTACTTGATTTCAAATATCGGTTCGTTAGACGGAAACAATCACAGCAATCGCAGTGACATGTGAGGCTGCTACCTCTGAAAAATAAGTTAAAAGCATATTCTGCCGCGAGATTTATTCTGTACTGGTAAATCGAACTGCAATCTATGAAATGGCGTGTAGTTACTTCGCACTGCGATGAGTTAATTTAAAAACGAACGGTTACATAGGCGATTCAAAGCAAATAAAAATAAATACTGACACCTGTGTGCTCTTTCACGTGCCGTTCCACGGTATCGCCTACATACGATGGGATTTAATTATCTGAAAATGCTAATGTATAAAGTTCTCATAATGAAAACTCGTTCTCAAAGGACAGCTTCCCATTCTTGGAAATATACTACATTAAAGTATGAGCACTTATTAAATTTTCGATAAGTAATAGATTTCGTATAAATATTCCTCTTAGATTTTGACGGTGATGTTCTTAATTTTATTAAACAAAACATTGCAATCTGATATTTAAGATATCCAATATTTTGATTCAGCAAAATATAAAATGCAAAATTAAATCAATTTTTTATTAATATTTTTGGAATATACGCTTGATAATAACATGAAATATAACATACAAATAAATGAAAAGTTGTCTAAAGCTTTAATTTAACATTATAAATTGCATTCAAATTTTATAACTAAATGTACGTTTTTAATATTACAAGAAAGTTCTGTCTTCTTTGTTGTTTTCAAGAGAAAATGTAATGCAGGTGTCGAACACGGTCAATCAGTTGTTCCAGCGAACCGAATACATATTGCATAACCGACGATGATGGCTACATTAAAGGTTTTTGACACTGCTGCCTTTCATAGTTCAGTTTCATTAACATATATTTGATTAAACATGGGTTCGTAATACTAAAATGTTAAAAAATTCGTTACTTCAGTTCAGCATCTTTAATACTTGTGCATAGTACGGGTTAAACTGGCTCAAAACAGGTATTTAAAATCTAAGTTTCTGTACGTCACAAAAATGTTGAGATATATTTCATATAATTTTTTAAAAATGTCAATAAAATCATAAATTACCGTACGTCGTTAATTATAATTGAATTTCAACAGTACTGTACAGGAATACGTACTAATTGACCAATTAAATTATATAAATAAAATATGGTGGTTAAGAAACCAAGTTTTGAAATATATCTTTTATAGATCATGAACCTACATGTTCATTTTTAGTATAAGTTATGTTTTTACTATAATTATGAAAGTGTAAGGTTTCTACATATTTATAATCTTTTATTTATAGATTTTTCTATTAAAGATTCATTAATTATCCATTTAAGAATTTTATTTATAAATTTCCCTACTCTATGACATCGTTATGATAAAAATAAAAAATATTGTATTTTCTTTTATAATTTTAATTAAATTCAGTTGGAAATAAATTCAATTTTATTAATCATAATATTGTTTCATAATATCATATCAATTATTAACATTTTCCTAAGGTATTATATCATAGAAATAGTGTACGCACGTAACTGTAAATATGTCAATCTTAGAAATATTTAAATCAGTATTCGTGAATTTGTCAAAGCTTATGACCGTATGACGAACATATGTAAACTTTTTATCTAAATATTTTTAAAAAATCATGGCATAAGGTTTTCGCATAAGTAGTAGCTAATATATTATAAAGTAAATCTCTATGACGTATCGGAAATACTAACAAGGTTGAAGCTACAGATTTACCGTCGACGGGCAGAGGCAAAGAAGGATGTTTTACTCGTAATGCTTGCGATGTGTGCTTTAGCGGATTTATAAGTCCACCAATTGAGCATTTCTACTCATTCCTATTAAACATAATTGTTCACTATTTTTCGGAACGTATGTTCACTTTATTTTTTCACGAAAGAATATTTGTATTTTTTCTAATTAAAGCACAATAATCATTATATTACAGTATAATATTAATTATTTATATTACAGTAATAATTATAAATTGCATGCAAATTTATAAAATTAATCGTAATTGCGTATAATTATACATAATATTTTTCCAAAAATTAACACCTATCCACAGATTTTCAAATTACTGCATCACTATTAAACTTCTAGAATTACAAATTAATTTTCAGTTATTTTCCACATCAAATTTTGAACATTCACTTTGATAGGAAATTTGTTCCACGCTTAAACACATTATACAAAAAGATTCTTGGTTTGTAAAATCCATACTCTTTAGTATTATATACATGCAGACCATACAAAAATTTCAACCAGAGAATTTAATTCTTTATCAAAGTTAGGAAGCTTTTATTTCGACGTATAATGATTAAAACTAACCCCTATATGTTGAACATTCTTATTCCTGTAAAATCCGTTTTCTTTACATAACTAAGTAAATAAAAGTAGAGATTTTGTAATCCGATTATCTTTTTGAATGCATAGGAAAAATCTTAATACAAAATATGCTCTTAGATAATTTATGTCAGGGTAAAAGTACATTTTTTTCAAAAGCTTATTTAAAACGTAATGGGCAGGTTATTTGTACCTAAACACCACTTGTAGAAGAATCTCTTAGAACAGGGAAACAAAATATAATTTTTTTTATTTTTTCAGTCCCTGTACTGTTAAGAATATGCTTCTGAAATAATGTTATTTATTTTGCAAAATTCTAATAGTTATAGTGATTTCAAATGCTTGACATTATTAAACAACATTTACTTCTATACGTCTCGCGATAATGAAAAATCTTTCTCTGTTACTTGAATTCTAAAATGTTTATTTGGATATACTTTGATCATTTTCCACGTGAGTATCTTAATCTTGTTTTGGAAAGAGTGGAATTGATTCAATATTAACTCGTCTTTTGTAGGAAGTAAATTAGTAATTGAAATAACTGAAGCTGTCACAAATATTATCAAGATAAAAAAAATATTTTAGTTCTGAAAAAGTGATATAATACAATGAGTGAAAAAAGTTATAAAGCGAACCTTTAAAGGTAATGAAAAGATCAGAAGTAACAAACAAAAATCAAAAGGTAATCACAAAAAAATGTAATGAATGGAAAAGCCGATACCAATGTAGGAGTTTTCCTAAAGTGAAAGTTTGTCAAAGCGAATGTTTCACATGAAATTGATAAATTATAGTGGATAGACCTCGTTTTAAGAACTTTGGGCATGTAGAAGTGTTTGAGTCTGTGCGAACGGTTCTGATTACATGAGTTCGTATGCATCGTTATACCTCATACACGTTAAAACTTGCAGCGATGCAGGCCGCTACAAGTGATGGATTTGAGTTTTTCAAAGCTTCACGATACATGTTACGCTCAAATAAAACGTGAGAAAAGCTGGAACCCATCGTTTGTAGCGATGCCTGCATCACAATATGCTTCGATGTATATAGAGGCCTTTAATAGTTGCGTGAGATTTTAGGTGGCTGAGGAAAAGAGTATAAAAGTAGAAAGGGGAGAGAGAGAGAGGGAGATGCGTTTTCTAAGAGAACATTCTGTGAGAGTCAGCGAGTCTTATTTTTATGGTTTTTGCTTATGGTTTTAAGTAATAAATTTTGTTATTGTTAAATCTGTGATATTCATGAGTTCGCTACCCCTTTACCACCGCACCACGTGAGATTTCCCTTAAACCCCTACATTAGCTTCATCCATGAGAAACTACTGCCTAATTACAAGTACATACTGTTTATCGATTTACGGAGAATTGACATGTGATGAATTGAAATTGAAACGATTGCTTAATGCATTTGCACCTAACAATGAATCTTTGAACTCATCGATGGACTTTTTTCTAGAGATTAATATTGTGTAAAGCAAGACAATTAACATTGTAGTATCTTTGATAATATGGATGTATTTGAACAGTGAAAATAATTCAAGTTATGGAAATAAAGATTCGAACAACTACAAAAGAATTAGACAATTGTAGATACTTTAAATGTTTTTGTTGATTCTGTGTTTAAAAATTATTAGCAAAATTCGAGAAACCCATTCTATATATTTGTCGCTGTGATTAAAAATAGAATTATCTTAGTATCAGAAAAATTTGTATCTTCTCCGACTAGTGAAAGCCTTTTAGAGTAAAAAATACCGTTTGCATTAACTCCTTACAATTTCAATAAATTTTTCGTGAGCAAGATAATTCTAATTTCAGCTACAATCTTCAATTAATTTTTAGGTAAGAAAAGTGTCGTAAAGACATGCTTTCGTTTCTAACATCGAGAGAAATTATTTTCGTGGTTGCTATAATTGACAACAATGAATAATTTAACATTTAAAAACTTGTTTGCATTGAAAATATACACAAAACATGTGTATATACATAAAATTTAAAAACATATGAATGTACTGAATTTAAAAAAAATAGATTCCAGAGATGACTTCAAGAGAACATGACTAGAACAAAAAAACTCATCATTATGAGCATAATTTGCGCACTAGATCAAACAGTGCGAAATCTTCACAGTGTCTTCAGCGCCAAATTGATATATGTACCATAATTACATTAGAAAAGCCACGATCCACTGATCTTTCATCTCGACGTCAGAAAAACCCTCAACTCATCGTTTCATTACCTTGTGCAGCAGCTCGACGTCGAATGCTCTTATTCGGGCCGGAAACACGAGCACTTTGGGACCTCGTGGCGGGTCTGCGTCTCCTGGTCGGCGTACTGCTGTCAGGAGTGCCGCTTCCGCTATCCTTCTCCCTGTCGATCTTATCTCTTTCCCTCGCGCCCGAGGGAGGCATCGCTTCCAACATTTGCTCCATGCTGGAGAAACCCGGCGCGCAGATTGAGGCTGACCTGGTCTTCCGACGTAGCGAGTTTTCGGCCATCTTGCGCCTTTAAGTTCGCCAACACAGTCCCGTAATACCGTCTACCAGCAATTTCCGATTTTCGAAGAGCGCTCTGCGAGACAGCAGTCCGAAGAAAGTCCTCCTCGAATATTCAGTAGCTAGCCCGAAACAGTTCGCCGTGCTATTGATGTTTCAAAGCCAATTTCCTCTTTGGAACCGTCTCTTATCGTGCCTTGAATTTTTTATTGGTTATCAAGTATTCGAAGTCAGGCGACTTCCCTGTTGTGTTCGCGCGACACACGCGATCAAAAACGGAGGGGAGTGAGTCGTGACGCGCGTAGACCTTTCCCCCTTCGCCCTTTCGAACGATCAAAGATTCTTGAGGTGTGCTCTCGGAAATTAGCCGGGGGCGAATTTATGAAGTCCCCGAAGACTGATCTTCCACTGGCAAACCGCCGGGCTTCCGGGGACTTGGATTATCCTCGAAACAGGAAACCCTTCGGTGGATCTATCTAATCGTACGGGGTGCACACACACGTATAAATACACACGCTGGTAGCAAGTGACGTGCACGTGTCGTAACCTTTCAGATTCAGTCCTCCATTAAAAGTTCTCTGACAACTCATATACACAGTTTCCACTTATCGACCGAGTCCGTGTGAAATACAATGGCTTTCTCTGTCTTCCTCCTTCTCTCTCTCTTTCTCCCCCTTTCACTCTTCCTATGTCCTAACCTCACGCTAGGGCTCCAGTGGTTACCACCGATGAAACTTGAATTCTGAAGCAACACGTGGTACCGCGGACGTTAATTGTGAAGGAACAGAACAGATTCGGTGAACCGTTCGAGCAACTCGGTCGTGAAGAGCTTTGATGAAACATTTGCTTTAGCAACTTTATTTGAGATTCGTTGGGTTCGTTGTAAATATTATTTTCTAGATGTTTACTGACTTCTTTCCGCGAACTTTTCATTCTTTCCGATCGAATCGTGGAATATACCCGACACGAACATGCAACGATCACTTAATCAGTGAAATATGACACTGGTATCTTACTTTTTATGCAATGATTGACTGAGTAAACGCTCCTAAAAGAATTTCAACCAGTATGCCTACCATATTTATAGAAAAATGACCGGAGATAGTTTGCGGTTGATTGCCGTTATAATGGCGACCTGAATATTTAATGTTTAAAATCAAAAACCGCAAGTTAACAATTTAATTAATTAAATTACGAAATATTAATATGCAACTTTCTTTCTTTCTAATAATTAAGACTTCGATGCGTAATTCAGTTTCTTATAGGAAGAGTTTTTAGAAGTTCACACAATTGTCGACCGCGAAAGGTTTACAAGTTATATAGACATGTAAATTCAAATCCACGCTTATACATTTTTTCTTTATAATAACAGTTTAAACAACTGCATAAAATTGTTCGTACTTGTCCCGAAACGCTTACGAATATATTACATAAATTTGTTTATTTTATTACCATTAGAATCCGACCACCACTTTGTTATCAATGAAGTGTTATCATAAACAAAGATGAATATGAAATAATGAAGTTGAATAATAATTTTTTATGACAAAAGTACCGTTGCAGAAGTGAAAAATAATTAATTTTTCCAATCAGAAAGGTACGTCCGTCAATTCTACATTCCGCATCAATTAACTCAGTACGTAATTAATTTTTCCAGTCCCGGGGCTTCGAAGTTATATCCCCATTATAAATCTCTTTTCTCGAGGATGCAAGTTCGACAATTAATTAATTTACATAAGACTAACGTACAAGCAGCATTCTATTCCAGTTGTCGATGCTATCAATTGTAAGACACTATTACCGTAACATAAAAGAATTTAAAGTGTTAGCAGTAGATATGTAAAAGTTAATAAACCAAAATAGTAAAAATAGAAAGCAAAAAGAACAATCTCATGATTAGTGTTCCTTGGTATCACAAATAAAATTAATTCAATTTTATTTTTTAATCGGTATCTCTATAGTTTTCCTTGATCTTTCGCATTCTTTTGTCGACAGTGCCTCGCGATCAATTTTAATTCCGGATACGCATTTATTCATCTGTCACATACGACATATTTAAACTGTATTTTATTAATTTACATTTTATATCATTTCTAATTAACCAACTTTTTCCTTCAACTACATTTTAATGAAAATATTTTAAATAATGCTGAATTATTGAAAAGAAGATGCAAATAAAATTCGAAGTACTAAACGTTAACATGTTGGTTAAGGCAAACAATTTAGCAAAATAGTAAAATCTTATAATTTTGTTGATTGAATTACTGGAAAGGGTTACTGCGTAAAGAAAAAAAAACGCAGCTGCATATTTTTAGTATTTAGGGTAACTGAAAATAACACGAAAGAAAAAGAAATAGACAGGGAGAAGAAGAAAGAGAGAAAAAGAAAGCAGTTCCTTCACACCTTTTTGAAGAAACATTCTCACCGTGAAGTGGCATACGAAAATATACAGAGTGTTCACGTGATTGCAAACCAGCGCATCTCTCATAAATGATGAGACTAAAATTCGACATACGTTGGGAAAATAGTTTTATCATTTTTTTGTAGACGACACGATAATATATAATATATATATATATATATATATATATCGATCTTTTAAATGTACAATATTTATTATAGACGGAGAGCAATATTTATTTTGAAATCACACGACATTGATGGACAATATAAAAACCATATAACGTAATGTTGTTTAAAATTATATAAAATTAAATATAAAAAATTACGATGTAAGAATAAGAATGTTACACTTAAATGTTTCGTTAGTCGCTTTCGATCAAAATTATTGTGAATTTAGTAATAGATTAATTAATAATAGACCCATTGTATAACTTATTACAGGCAGTGAAATACTTTCCCTTCCTAATAATCGTTGAGACGTCAATTAGTGGAAGAAACACGTTGACTAATAATAACGCAAATATTATTCTGCATATTCCCTTAATTATAAATCATTGATACTTCCAATGTAAACGAGGAAAAGTCGAACTAATTATTTTGAGTTTAATTATATTATATATACAGCTCTGTGGTGATGAAAGTAATTTTACAAAATTTTTATTAAGCTGCTGCATATTGTACTCTTATAATCAGATTTTAAATGAAAGGAGGATAAGTCTAAAAGAATTTCTTACTTAGTTTCATATTACTTATTTACTTTATATTGCATGGAAAGCCAGTCGTAAAGTGGCAGTAATTTTTTGCTTCATACACGGAGTAAAAAGTCCATTTTCAGTTGACAAACATTTTATACTATAACATAATCAAAATTGACAAGATCAATCAAAAAGTGTGTAAAAGTAAAGCACGATAGTTGTGGTTGTGAAAAGTAAAAAAATATATCCTCAGATCGTTATTACTAAATTTACAATCATTTATAAGAAAGACTTTTATCTACACTCTATCCTAATAAATTCCAATAAGGGACTTGTTGACCTAATGGTAAGTACCCCCATATCTCTTTCGACATATATATATATATATATATATATATATATATATATATATATATATATATATATATA